TGCTCATTAATATTCATGATATGCAAACATCCCTCCTCTGATTGGTTAACAGCAACACAACTCTGACTGTTCTTCTTTGACTGTTAAAAAAGCGAACGTGATGAGTTATTTCCACAAACAGCACAAGCCTGAACGTGTTCCACCACCTTCTGGAGTTTCTTACGGTTAGCTTCTACAAGCCGAGATGCACTCGGCTCTCCCTTTCCTACAACAGGTTCCAAAGGTGGGCGGGGCCCTGAATACAAATTTTCCCTGTGATGTAGTAGAGTCCGGCTTTCTCTGAGACAGTTGCTTTCTCACCTGTTGCTTTCTGAGCTGATGCAGGAGATGTGGGTGGAGAAACTTTTCATGCACAGCAGCCACGTGAAACTCGGAGAAATTCCTCTTATTTGCTTGTTTTTGGAAGATTTTGTTTTGCGTTGATCTGATGAAAGTCTCTAACTAGAATCTAGAAGTTTACAAAAGCTGTTGTTATAAATCAATTAATTAATATTCTACGTAAATATGACCGTATGAACCTCAGTCGTTACTGTGCAGAAATAAACACACAGACATACACACACACACACACACACACACACGCACACACACACACACGCACGCACGCACACACACACACACACACACACACACACACGCACACATACACACACACACACACACACACACACACACACACACACACACACACACGCACGCACACACACACACACACACACACACGCACACACACACACACACACACCCCTCGAGTCTGACCTGCTGCTGGTTTCTCACTCGCACAGAAAATCCCTCCTAACTTTGTGGACGCTGCGGACCTGGATGTCCCAGGTCACATGATGAAAGACAGATACAAAACCATCCTTCCCAGTAAGAACCGCACCGTCTCTCTGTTGTTGTTATTATGCTTTTGTTGTTGTTATTGTTGTTTTAATTGATGTTGTTGTTGTAGAATATGTTGTTTTTGTTAATGCTGTTGTAGTTGATTGAGGTATTTTATGTTGTTAGTATTGTGTTTTTTGTTTTTATTGTTGTTGATGATGATTTGATTGATGTTGTTGTTGTAGATGATGTTGTTTTTGTTAATGCTGTTGTTGATTGAGGTTATTTATGTTGTTGTTATTGTTGTTGATGATGATTTGATTGATGTTGTTGTTTTTATTGATGTTGTTATTGTAAATGATGTTGGTTTGTTAATGCTGTTGTAGTTGATTGAGGTTTTTTATGTTGTTAGTATTGTGTTTTTTTGTTGTTATTGTTGTTGATGATGATTTGATTGATGTTGTTGTTGTTAATGCTGTTGTTGTTGATTGAGGTTTTTTATGTTGTTGTTATTGTTGTTGATGATGATTTGATTGATGTTGTTGTTTTTATTGATGTTGTTGTTGTAAATGATGTTGGTTTTGTTAATGCTGTTGTTGTTGATTGAGGTTTTTTATGTTGTTGTTTTTGTGTTGTTGTTGTTGTTGATGATGATTTGATTGATGTTGTTTTTATTGATGTTGTTGTAGATGATGTTGTTTTTGTTAGTGCTGTTGTTCTTGATGAAGGTTTTTTATGTTGTTATTCTGTTTTTGTTGTTGTTATTGTTGCTTATGATGATTTGATTGATGTTGTTTTTATTGATGTTGTTGTAGATGATGTTGTTTTTGTTAGTGCTGTTGTTCTTGATGAAGGTTATTTATGTTGTTGTTTTTGTGTTTTTGTTGTTGTTATTGTTGTTGATGATGATTTGATTGATGTTGTTGTTGTAGATGATGTTGTTTTTGTTAATGCTGTTGTTGTTGATTGAGGTTTTTTATGGTGTTAGTATTGTGTTTTTGTTGTTGTTATTGTTGTTGATGATGATTTGATTGATGTTGTTGTTTTTATTGATGTTGTTGTTGTAAATTATGTTGTTTTTGTTAATGCTGTTGTTGTTGATTGAGGTTTTTTATGGTGTTAGTATTGTGTTTTTGTTGTTGTTTTTGTTGTTGATGATGATTTGATTGATGTTGTTTTTATTGATGTTGTAGATGATGTTGTTTTTGTTAATGCTTGTTGTTGATTGAGGTTTTTTATGGTGTTAGTATTGTGTTTTTGTTGTTGATGATGATTTGATTGATGTTGTTTGTATTGATGTTGTAGATGATGTTGTTTTTGTTAATGCTGTTGTAGTTGATTGAGGTTTTTTATGTTGTTAGTATTGTGTTTTTTGTTTTTATTGTTGTTGATGATGATTTGATTGATGTTGTTGTTGTAGATGATGTTGTTTTTGTTAATGCTGTTGTTGATTGAGGTTATTTATGTTGTTGTTATTGTTGTTGATGATGATTTGATTGATGTTGTTGTTTTTATTGATGTTGTTATTGTAAATGATGTTGGTTTGTTAATGCTGTTGTAGTTGATTGAGGTTTTTTATGTTGTTAGTATTGTGTTTTTTTGTTGTTATTGTTGTTGATGATGATTTGATTGATGTTGTTGTTGTTAATGCTGTTGTTGTTGATTGAGGTTTTTTATGTTGTTGTTATTGTTGTTGATGATGATTTGATTGATGTTGTTGTTTTTATTGATGTTGTTGTTGTAAATGATGTTGGTTTTGTTAATGCTGTTGTTGTTGATTGAGGTTTTTTATGTTGTTGTTTTTGTGTTTTTGTTGTTGTTGTTGTTGATGATGATTTGATTGATGTTGTTTTTATTGATGTTGTTGTAGATGATGTTGTTTTTGTTAGTGCTGTTGTTCTTGATGAAGGTTTTTTATGTTGTTATTCTGTTTTTGTTGTTGTTATTGTTGCTTATGATGATTTGATTGATGTTGTTGTTTTTATTGATGTTGTTGTAGATGATGTTGTTTTTGTTAGTGCTGTTGTTCTTGATGAAGGTTATTTATGTTGTTGTTTTTGTGTTTTTGTTGTTGTTATTGTTGTTGATGATGATTTGATTGATGTTGTTGTTGTAGATGATGTTGTTTTTGTTAATGCTGTTGTTGTTGATTGAGGTTTTTTATGGTGTTAGTATTGTGTTTTTGTTGTTGTTATTGTTGTTGATGATGATTTGATTGATGTTGTTGTTTTTATTGATGTTGTTGTTGTAAATTATGTTGTTTTTGTTAATGCTGTTGTTGTTGATTGAGGTTTTTTATGGTGTTAGTATTGTGTTTTTGTTGTTGTTTTTGTTGTTGATGATGATTTGATTGATGTTGTTTTTATTGATGTTGTAGATGATGTTGTTTTTGTTAATGCTTGTTGTTGATTGAGGTTTTTTATGGTGTTAGTATTGTGTTTTTGTTGTTGATGATGATTTGATTGATGTTGTTTGTATTGATGTTGTAGATGATGTTGTTTTTGTTAATGCTGTTGTTGTTGATTGAGGTTTTTTATGTTGTTACTGTGTTTTTGTTGTTGTTATTGTTGTTGATGATGATTTGATTGATGTTGTTGTTTTTATTGATGTTAATGTAGATTATGTTTTTTTTGTTAGTGCTGTTGTTCTTGATGAAGGTTTTTATTTTGTTATTGTGTTTTTGTTGTTGTTATTGTTGCTTATGATGATTTGATTGATGTTGTTGTTTCTATTGATGTTGTTGTAGATCATGTTGTTTTTGTTAATGCTGTTGTTGTTGATGAAGGTTTTTTATGTTGTTGTTATTGTTGTTGATGATGATTTGATTGATGTTGTTGTTTTTATTGATGTTGTTGTAGATTATGTTGTTTTTGTTAGTGTTGTTTTTCTTGATGAAGGTTTTTATGTTGTTATTGTGTTTTTGTTGATGTTATTGTTGCTTATGATGATTTGATTGATGTTGTTGTTTTTATTGATGTTGTTGTTGTTGTAGATCATGTTGTTTTTGTTAATGCTGCTGTTGTTGATTGAGGTATTTTATGTTGTTGTTATTGTGTTTTTGTTGTTGTTATTGTTGTTTTTATTGATGTTGTTGTTGTAGATCATGTTGTTTTTGTTAATGCTGTTGTTGTTGATGAAGGTTTTTTATGTTGTTGTTATTATGTTTTTGTTGTTGTTATTGTTGTTGATGATGATTTGATTGATGTTGTTGTTTTTATTGATGTTGTTGTTGTAAATTATGTTGTTTTTGTTAATGCTGTTGTTGTTGATTGAGGTTTTTTATGGTGTTAGTATTGTGTTTTTGTTGTTGTTTTTGTTGTTGATGATGATTTGATTGATGTTGTTTTTATTGATGTTGTAGATGATGTTGTTTTTGTTAATGCTGTTGTTGTTGATTGAGGTTTTTTATGTTGTTACTGTGTTTTTGTTGTTGTTATTGTTGTTGATGATGATTTGATTGATGTTGTTGTTTTTATTGATGTTAATGTAGATTATGTTTTTTTGTTAGTGCTGCTGTTCTTGATGAAGGTTTTTATGTTGTTGTTATTGTTGTTGATGATGATTTGATATATGTTGTTGTTTTTATTGATGTTGTTGTAGATTATGTTGTTTTTGTTAGTGTTGTTTTTCTTGATGAAGGTTTTTATGTTGTTATTGTGTTGTTGTTGATGTTATTGTTGCTTATGATGATTTGATTGATGTTGTTGTTTTTATTGATGTTGTTGTTGTTGTAGATCATGTTGTTTTTGTTAATGCTGCTGTTGTTGATTGAGGTATTTTATGTTGTTGTTATTGTGTTTTTGTTGTTGTTATTGTTGTTTTTATTGATGTTGTTGTTGTAGATCATGTTGTTTTTGTTAATGCTGTTGTTGATGAAGGTTTTTTATGTTGTTGTTATTATGTTTTTGTTGTTGTTATTGTTGTTTATGATGATTTGATGGATGTTGTTGTTTTTATTGATGTTGTTGTTGTAAATTATGTTGTTTTTGTTAATGCTGTTGTTGTTGATTGAGGTTTTTTATGGTGTTAGTATTGTGTTTTTGTTGTTGTTTTTGTTGTTGATGATGATTTGATTGATGTTGTTTTTAATGATGTTGTAGATGATGTTGTTTTTGTTAATGCTGTTGTTGTTGATTGAGGTTTTTTATGGTGTTAGTATTGTGTTTTTGTTATTGTTTTTGTTGTTGATGATGATTTGATTGATGTTGTTTTTATTGATGTTGTAGATGATGTTGTTTTTGTTAATGCTGTTGTTGTTGATTGAGGTTTTTTATGGTGTTAGTATTGTGTTTTTGTTATTGTTTTTGTTGTTGATGATGATTTGATTGATGTTGTTTTTATTGATGTTGTAGATGATGTTGTTTTTGTTAATGCTGTTGTTGTTGATTGAGGTTTTTTATGTTGTTACTGTGTTTTTGTTGTTGTTATTGTTGTTGATGATGATTTGATTGATGTTGTTGTTTTTATTGACGTTAATGTAGATTATGTTTTTTTTGTTAGTGCTGTTGTTCTTGATGAAGGTTTTTATGCTGTTATTGTGTTTTTGTTGTTGTTATTGTTGCTTATGATGATTTGATTGATGTTGTTGTTTCTATTGATGTTGTTGTAGATCATGTTGTTTTTGTTAATGCTGTTGTTGTTGATGAAGGTTTTTTATGTTGTTGTTATTGTTGTTGATGATGATTTGATTGATGTTGTTGTTTTTATTGATGTTGTTGTAGATTATGTTGTTTTTGTTAGTGTTGTTTTTCTTGATGAAGGTTTTTATGTTGTTATTGTGTTTTTGTTGATGTTATTGTTGCTTATGATGATTTGATTGATGTTGTTGTTTTTATTGATGTTGTTGTTGTTGTAGATCATGTTGTTTTTGTTAATGCTGCTGTTGTTGATTGAGGTATTTTATGTTGTTGTTATTGTGTTTTTGTTGTTGTTATTGTTGTTTTTATTGATGTTGTTGTTGTAGATCATGTTGTTTTTGTTAATGCTGTTGTTGTTGATGAAGGTTTTTTATGTTGTTGTTATTATGTTTTTGTTGTTGTTATTGTTGTTGATGATGATTTGATTTATGTTGTTGTTTTTGTTAATGCTGTTGTTGTTGATAAAGTTTTTTTGTTGTTATTGTGTTTTTGTTGTTGTTGATGATTTGATTGCTGTTGTTGTTTTTGTTGAAACTGTTGTTGTGGTTGGTGGTTGTGGTTTGTTGTTTAGACCCTGAGAGCCGGGTCATCCTGAAGAACCCTGAGGAAGAACTGGGACCGAGCGGCTACATCAACGCCAACTACATCAGGGTCAGACTCTAAGAACTTCCTTTATTGTGAAACAAAACCAGATAAAGGTTAAGCAGGAATACATGTCTATTCTAACTGTGGTGGAAAACATCTCTAAGAATGAAACTAAAACCCTGTACTTGTGTTTCATTTTTGATTCAGTTGAAACGGAAAAAAAAAATCCCATTTTAAGTTTTTGTTTGTTACTTTTAGCCCAGGAAAACAGTAACAGGCCTGGTTTTGGAGAACTGAGATTAGGTAAGGTGATTTATTATAACTATATATGAGTAACCTGGACTGAGTCACCTGAAGTTTAAGCTGTTTAATGGTGACTGGACCCAAATTAAACGGGAGTTCCATGTTCCGAGCACTAGTCCCTGTGGCACTCCGTCTGAAATAAAATGTGCTTTTTCTGTTACTGATTCCAACCCAGCAGGCTGAGTTCAGACGGGATGAGCTGAAGGACTCAGAGGCTCAGTGTTAAAGATTAAGAAAACAAAATAACAGAGGTTTATCTCATTTATGTAGAAATTAGAAAACTAATAAAATTTATGTAAATAGATTTTTGGTTTTGCAAACTCAAATTCAAAATTAGCAGGGAATGAACTAAATAAATGCGTGTCTAGTCGTGCTGCAAACACGTGTCGTCAATAGTTTTGTACTTTAGTGCATTTTAGTAAAAAAATTTATTTTCTGCCTAAAACTGTCAGTGTTGTGCCGTTGTCAGGTGAAAACTCTGCACTGCATTTGAATTTAAATTTGTGGTACCCTAGATCGTTAGCTGGTACCATATGATATCACAATATTGTTGTGAGCCTGTGTGTGTGTATTTGTTAGTGGCTCCGCCCTCTCGGTCTGCTAGGCAACAGCATTTGTTGCATTTTTCAAACAGGAAGTGGGAGTGGAGTAATACTCTGGTAGGGGGTGACTTGCTCTTTAAATCAGTCAAACAACCAAAGTAGCATGCTATCATTTTTAGTTCTCAGTTTTCAGGTGTGTGTGTGTGTGTGTGTGTGTGTGTGTGTGTGTGTGTGGGTGTGTGTGTGTGCGTGCGTGCGTGCGTGCTTGTGTGTGTGTGTGTGTGTGTGTGTTGTGTGTGTGTGTGTGTGTGTGTGTGTGTGTGTGTGTGTGTGTGTGTGTGTGTGTGTGTGTGTGTGTGTGTGTGTGTGTGTGTGTGTGTGTGATCTCAATAGACAGAAACTGAGGTAAGAACCGTCGGTTTATCAACGCTAGAATCTGACATTCAGGAAAACCACAGGAAGTGCAGGAGGAAGGGTCTTGTTCCTGACTCAAACCCTCCGCTGCTGTCACCCACGCAACCCTCCCACTTCAGCTCTGTGTGTGTGTGTGTGTGTGTGTGTGTGTGTGTGTGTGTGTGTGTGTGTGTGTGTGTGTGTGTGTGTGTGTGTGTGTGTGCAAGTGTGCAAGTGTGAAGCTCACACCTGCTCAAGTCAGCTCACCTGTCTGGCCGCTTGGATGCTCTGTGGCCTGACTTCATGAACAGAATCTTTTGGATCCGTCACTTCCTGTGTAATCGGTTCAGGATGTGGACAGCAGGGGGTGATGTGACAACGTTGTGGGTTTTGATGCAATGACACAAAAACAGGTGATGATGTGATGCTGGTGGTTGTTGGAGACTCAGGGTCAATATTCAGACCTTCAGGGAAGGTCAGAATGACAATGAGCCATCCAGATGTTTTGTCCCGTCTCATGCAGATGTTTAATCCCGTCTAATGCAGATGTTTAATCCCGTCTCATGCAGATGTTTAATCCCGTCTAACGCAGATGTTTAATCCCGTCTAATGCAGATGTTTAATCCCGTCTAGTGCAGATGTTTAATCCCGTCTAATGCAGATGTTTAATCCCGTCTAATGCAGATGTTTAATCCCGTCTAATGCAGATGTTTAATCCCGTCTAATGCAGATGTTTAATCCCGTCTAGTGCAGATGTTTAATCCCGTCTAATGCAGATGTTTAATCCTGTCTAGTGCAGATGTTTAATCCCGTCTAATGCAGATGTTTAATCCCGTCTAGTGCAGATGTTTAATCCCGTCTAGTGCAGATGTTTAATCCCGTCTAGTGCAGATGTTTAATCCCGTCTAGTGCAGATGTTTAATCCCGTCTAGTGCAGATGTTTAACCCCGTCTAGTGCAGATGTTTAATCCCGTCTAGTGCAGATGTTTAATCTTGTCTAGTGCAGATGTTTAATCCCGTCTAGTCCAGATGTTTAATCCTGTCTAGTGCAGATGTTTAACCCCGTCTAGTGCAGATGTTTAATCCCGTCTAGTGCAGATGTTTAACCCCGTCTAGTGCAGATGTTTAATCTTGTCTAGTGCAGATGTTTAATCCCGTCTAGTCCAGATGTTTAATCCTGTCTAGTGCAGATGTTTAATCCCGTCTAATGCAGATGTTTAATCCTGTCTAGTGCAGATGTTTAATCCCGTCTAGTGCAGATGTTTAATCCAGTCTAGTGCAGATGTTTAATCCCGTCTAGTGCAGATGTTTAATCCCGTCTAATGCAGATGTTTAATCCCGTCTAGTGCAGATGTTTAATTCCGTCTAATGCAGATGTTTAATCCCGTCTAGTGCAGATGTTTAATCCCGTCTAATGCAGATGTTTAATCCCGTCTAGTGCAGATGTTTAATCCCGTCTAATGCAGATGTTTAATCCCGTCTAGTGCAGATGTTTAATCCCGTCTAATGCAGATGTTTAATCCCGTCTAGTGCAGATGTTTAATCCCGTCTAGGGCAGATGTTTAATCCCGTCTAATGCAGATGTTTAATCCCGTCTAGTGCAGATGTTTAATCCCGTCTAATGCAGATGTTTGATCCCGTCTAGTGCAGATGTTTAATCCCGTCTAATGCAGATGTTTGATCCCGTCTAATGCAGATGTTTAATCCCGTCTAATGCAGATGTTTAATCCCGTCTAATGCAGATGTTTAATCCCGTCTAATGCAGATGTTTAATCCCGTCTAGTGCAGATGTTTAATCCCGTCTAGTGCAGATGTTTAATCCCGTCTAATGCAGATGTTTAATCCCGTCTAATGCAGATGTTTAATCCCGTCTAGCGCAGATGTTTAATCCCGTCTAGTGCAGATGTTTAATCCCGTCTAATGCAGATGTTTAATCTTGTCTAGTGCAGATGTTTAATCCCGTCTAATGCAGATGTTTAATCCCGTCTAATGCAGATGTTTAATCCCGTCTAATGCAGATGTTTAATCCCGTCTAATGCAGATGTTTAATCCCATCTAATGCAGATGTTTAATCCCGTCTAATGCAGATGTTTAATCCAGTCTAGTGCAGATGTTTAATCCCGTCTAATGCAGATGTTTAATCCTGTCTAGTACAGATGTTTAATCCCGTCTAGTGCAGATGTTTAATCCTGTCTAGTGCAGATGTTTAATCCCGTCTAATGCAGATGTTTAATCCTGTCTAGTGCAGATGTTTAATCCCGTCTAATGCAGATGTTTAATCCCGTCTAATGCAGATGTTTAATCCCGTCTAGTGCAGATGTTTAATCCTTTCTAGTGCAGATGTTTAATCCCGTCTAATGCAGATGTTTAATCCCGTCTAGTGCAGATGTTTAATCCCGTCTAATGCAGATGTTTAATCCCGTCTAATGCAGGTATTTAATCCCATCTCATGCAGATGTTTAGTGCCATCTCATGCAGATGTTTAATCCCGTCTAATGCAGATGTTTAATCCCGTCTAGTGCAGATGTTTAATCCCGTCTAATGCAGATGTTTAATCCCATCTAGTGCAGTTGTTTAATCCCGTCTAATGCAGATGTTTAATCCCGTCTAATGCAGATGTTTAATCCCGTCTAATGCAGATGTTTAATCCCATCTAATGCAGATGTTTAATCCCATCTAATGCAGATGTTTAATCCCATCTAATGCAGATGTTTAATCCCGTCCAATGCAGATGTTTAATCCCGTCTAATGCAGATGTTTAATCCTGTCTCATGCAGGTATTTAATCCCATCTCATGCAGATGTTTAATCCCGTCTATTGCAGATGTTTAATCCTGTCTCATGCAGGTATTTAATCCCATCTCATGCAGATGTTTAATCCCGTTTCATGCAGGGGTATAAAGGGGCTCCGAGGGCCTACATCGCCACCCAGGGCCCGATGCTGCACACCGTCGGGGACTTCTGGGACATGGTCTGGCAGGAGAGGAGCAGCATCATCGTCATGGTTACAAAACTGAAGGAGAACAACGAGGTGAGATGGAACTGCTCCCCCTGTGTCTACGACCTCCGAGTGAAGTTCAAAAGGAAATGAGATTATTTCAGTTGTGTGAGTTTACTGCCGAGAGAGAATAAATCTGACAGAGATGTTTTTTTTTCTTTTGGGTTCAGAAATGTGAGCCGTACTGGCCACAGCCAAGGCACAAAACGGAGGAGGTGAAGGAGGAGGACGAGGATCAGGAGGGAGAGAAGAATGGCCGGAGACAGGAAGAGGAAGGAGAGATGAGACAGTTTGGCAGATTCCTGATGAAAGTGAAGAACAGCCAGGAGAGAGACGGTTTCATCATCACGGATCTGGAGATCCAGGTGAGTCTGTTCGGTGTCCGTTGGTCATGGATTCATTCATAAAGCAAACAGAGATCGTGCTTTAATGGATGATGAAGTGGTGAAGGGCAAGCTCGGCTGCTGCTGCATTCAGGTGTCCTCGGAAATGTAAGTTTCTAACTAATAAACAACTTTTGAAGTCCAGCTTAATTATCAGGACGTTTTTATTCCAGCTCTGTTTTAATGTTGTTTGTTTCAGCTTGTTTTGTTTTGAAAGAGTTTGATTCTGACCTCTGGTTCTGGTTCTGCTTCCGGGCTTCAGCTGCTCTCAGAGCGCCGTGCAGTCAGACACTACTGGTTTAGCTCCTGGCCTGACCACCACGTCCCAGAATGCATTGTTTCCCTGCTGAGACTGGTGGAAGATGTGGAGATGCACAGGAAGTCCCTCAAATCACCCCCCAGCTCTGAGCCAATCACAGGCCCGGTTCCTGGTTCTGGTGCGGTCATCATCCACTGCAGGTTGGTGTTCATCTGAACAATGGTGAGGTAGAGGTGGAGAAACAGGGATGCTTCAAATGAAACTCCAAAGTCTAATCTGAGACTAAATATTTATAAACAGATATGTTAATGCTGCTGCCAGGAGGTCACCATGGTAACCACCCTTACCTAAAAATTACTAATGCTAGTTACCAGGTTTAGAGATGCTGCCCAAACATCAGGATGTTGGTGTTCTGGTCACTGACCAGTAAAACCAGCTCAGGAAGTCTCAAAATAGAAAACTTCTTCCTGTTGGAACATGTGACCACGCCCCTTTAACAGGTTTGACCCACAACATGTTTGTGAGGGTGACGCACCTGCAGGAGAGATGCTCACCTCCACAACCACTGATCCAGTCAATTTTCCAAATGTTCTGAAAGAACTCTGGTACCAGAGCATTTGGAGCTCAGACTGGGTTAACCTGACCCTCCGTGATGAGATGTTCCTCTCATCCTCTCCTGTCTGCTCAGCGCCGGCATCGGGAGGACCGGTTGTTTCGTAGCGAGCAGCATCGGCTGTCAGCAGCTCAGGGAAACGGGTCAGGTCGACATCCTGGAGACGGTTTGTCAGCTCCGACTGGACAGGTGACACTTTTCCTTCTTCCTGTTCTCTGGTCTGAGCTGTGATGGAAGTTAAAACTCCTCTGTCCGGATCAGGGGTGGGATGATCCAGACCACAGAGCAGTACCAGTTCCTGTACGCCACGCTGGCCCAGTACAGCCTCCAGCTGCAGCACCAGCAGGTACTCCCAGCGCTGGAGCTCCACCCTCAGCTCTAGGTCACTTTCACTTTAACTGTTTTCTCCCCACCAGAACCAGAACAACCCAGAGGACCAGGTGGGTCTGCAGCTGCAGAACCTGCAGCTACAGAACAACAACTGACGGGGTCCAGGATCTGGAAAACCATCGGGAATCAGAGGAAACCACCTCAGCAGAGGAGAACCGGGAAGAGGGAACACCAGAGCCTGGAAGCAGCAAGAACCGATGCTCCTAACAGATGGAGAATCATCAGAACCAGAACAACTAGATTTCTGATCCAGTTCTGACTCTACTGAGGAACCTGAACTGAAAACTGAATGTCAGATGGGAGAAAAGAATTTAAACAGGAATGTTTATCCCATGTTGGTTTTATTCAGACTGAAGAAAATAATAATGAATCTGGGTCGGCCCGGTCCGGTTCAGCGTGGATCCGAGGATTACTTCAGTCGTTCCTGGGCTCAGATTATTTATTTACTGTTTTAAATTAGTTCTGCTTTCCTCATCAGCCTGTAGATGAAAACAGTTTTAATGTTGATCCCTTCTGATTCCAATAAACAGCCGTTTGTCCGTTTCACACGAGCTGCTGGTGTTATCGTTTAGATGAACAAACAACAAACAACAGAGCAGCCGATGCTTGCCAAACCGAAGAGGGATGTGACACATGTGACAAGGTGGAGAAGCGAGGGCCCGGGTGGGATTCAATCCCCAGATTCCCGGGTGAGAGTCACGCGCTAACCAGTCAGCCAAGCGGACGTCCCCTTGGCCAAGCAGCCAGGGCGCATGATCAGTCGGGACGCAGTGACTGGATGCTCACACAGTTAGTGTGGAAGAGGTCAGAGGTCAGAGGTTTAGACTGTGGAGATTTATTGCAATTTTGGCGCCATGGGGGGGGGGGGGGGGGGATGTTCTCTTCTAACTGGTTTATCAGACCCAGGATGTAGTTCTTAGTTGTCGCCACTGGGGGGCGGAAATACTCCACATTCATTAAAAGTCGATCAAACGTTCTGAGTTTGTTGATGTGGCTTGCTTTGACGTCACACAGCCACCATGTTTGTTATTGCTACGTTGATGCTGTTGAACAACACTTAGAGCGACTTTAGTAAAAATGTCATGGCGTTTTTTAAAAAGCATTTACAGAAAGTGTTTCTACAACTTTATAAATATACGTTTATCTTCTCCTCCTTCTCCTCTTCCTCATTTGCTTCAACATGAATATTCATAAAAGGACGAAATCAAAAATTAGGATGTCTTATTGAGATAAGGAGGCTAAAGGTTGTCGCCACTGGAGGGATAATCCCTGGCGCAATCATATTCATTGATCATGGGTAGGACGTTCTCTGTTTCCCATGGCTCTTATTTTTCAGGAGGTGCTAAGCTCAGGTGGGGGGTTCCTCAGGGTTCTGTTTTGGGCCCCCTGCTGTTCTCCCTCTATCTGCTACCACTGGGACTGTTGTTTAGAAAACATAACATTAGTTTCCATCTCTATGCTGACGATTGTCAACTGTATATTTTTAGATATTGGGTGTCAAGATAGACTCCGGTCTACGATTTGATAGTCAGGTGAACTCTGTTGTTCGTTCGTGTTTTTATCAGTTAAGGCGCTTATCTAAGATTAAGTCGATCTTAACTAAACAGGAGTTGAAATCTGTAGCCAATGCTTTTATCGTCTCTAGGCTAGAGTACTGCAACTCCCTCTATGCTGGCTTGAGCCAGTCCTTAATGACTCGGCTCCAGCTGGTCCAAAACGCTGTCGCCAGGTTTCTTTATGGAGCACGTGGGAGCATGTCACTCCACTCCTGACAGTTTTGGACTGGCTACCGGTGAAGAGTTGCATCTTGTCCAAAATCCTGGTCCTTGTTTTTCAATCCCTATCTGGATCAGCGCCACCATATTTAGCCTCCCTGCTGACCCGCTACGTCCCTGCAAGATTGCTACGTTAGGGTCAGAGTGATCCTTTGGTGGTACCGCGATCAAAGTGTAAGTCTGGGGTGATCTTGCCTTTTTCAGTTCTGGGTCCTCTTTCCCGACTCCCACGAGAAATCAAGTCGTCCACACCGCTGCCCACTTTAAAGCAAGGCTTAAGCCGTATCTTAGTTGTTTCTATTCACATTTTAATGTTTTTGATCACTAATTTTTATTGTTTTAGCTCTTTCTTTAGAGCTGTCTTATTGTGCTGCTTCTTTGCTCTATGTTCAGCACCTTGGGCCCCCTTGGGTGGGGGTGGGAAGGGGCTTTAAAAATAAAATGAACATGAACATTTTTCACAATCTCAGATTAATTAACTACAGTGCTACAAACTGGCAAGAAGCTACGTGTAGCTCATGTAGATCAACTGTTTTTCCCAGCTTGAGACATTGGAGGTGTGGCATGTGAATATGCTCAGGTGCAGATGTCTGAATGGATGGGTGGGTGGGTGGATGGATGAATGTGTATTATGCAATGATTGTTAAAGATCATTATGAGCATTTAGCAAAAATGTGGGTTTTAATCAGAACCATGTATATAAGTGAGCACTAGATGGCAGTGTTTCAGAAACAGACATTTTCTGGTTTTTGTTTTTTCTTTTATTCTCTCTTTTACTTTCTTCAGCAACCCCACCCAAACCGGAAGCCTCCCAATATATCTACCGACCAATCAATTTAAACCCTAAAGCAAAAATATTAATAAACAAATGCCTAGAAAATAACATAAATTTTTGTACAATGTCTTTGGTGTGTTTTGTTATTTAAACATCAGCTGATGGTATTCATGCAGTTTTTTTTTAATTAATTTCGTTGGTTGTTTATTTTGAAAGGCTCTACCGGATGTAGATGGTTCTCTTCTTCCTGTCTTCTCAGCGTTAGCAGGATAAAGCGCAGCTAGTAAACATCAAAAAAGGCTTATAGCGGGCAAGAGAGCTCAAAGCCACCGGGAAACAAGAGTTTTTCGTGTTGGTGTGAATCTACCGGAGTGTTTAGTTCCTCCGGTAACCGTCGGTGTCTGTCACCGTGTCTGTTAGCGGACACAAACCGGACCTTTGGGGCGTTAGTAGCCTAGCCTAGCCGCAGCTAACGGGAGGATTGTGAAGAAACGGCTGAAATGATAGCGCTCATTAACAAACTGCTGGACTGGTTCAAGGCGCTGTTCTGGAAGGAGGAGATGGAGCTGACCCTGGTGGGGCTGCAGTATTCGGGGAAAACCACCTTCGTGAACGTGATCGCGGTGAGTTTCGGGGTTAATCTGCCTCCATTGTTACTCTGCGGTGATGAGGTCAGCTGGACTCGAGAGGCGAAGATGAGTCAGTCACGTCTGATTTGTTATTCAGCGTCTGTGGAGATATCTGGTGTGTGTTTATTCATAACCTAGACGAAAGAAATGGTTCGGTCTGCTGGTCCGTCCCGCTCCCAGCAGCTGCCGATCAGATCTAATGGTACCTGGTCATCTTTGATGTGAGACCTTCTTTAGACAATAACCATAAACAGTCACACTGGTCTAACATAAACTAGGATACTGTAAATAAGAGTAACACTCTCAAATAAGACTCTGTTTCAACTTTCTTTCTTTTCTGGAGCATACAGGTGCGTGTTAACCTGCAACCAACCAAAGCGTCCCCCCTACCTCCCCATATGACCCCCCCGAACCAACACAGTTATTTTCCAACTTCCCAGTGATTCTGAGATATCAGATATTATCCACAAGTCAAAGCCTTCTACCTGCCTCCTCGACCTCCTTCCCACGGCCTGGGTTAAATCCTGCCTCCCCTCCCTGCTCCCTCTCGTCTCCGCTCTCACACACTCATCCCTTTTCTCCGGTATTGTTCCCTCTAGCTTCAAAACTGCTGCAGTTACTCCAATACTTAATAAACCTGGTTCGGATCCGAACATCTTTACTAATCTCCGCCCCATCTCCAACCTACCCTTTGTCTCCAAAGTTTTAGAAAAAATAGTCTCTACCCGGCTCAACACCCATCTGACACTAAACTCCTTCTATGAACCCGGTTTCCGCCCACTTCACAGCACAGAAACAGCCCTCCTCATAATAACTAAGGATCTCCTCATTGCTGCTGATTCCGGTCTTCTATCCATCCTGGTCCTCCTTGATCTGAGTGCGGCCTTTGACACAATATCTCATTCCATTCTCCTCCACAGGTTATCTTCCATCGGCATAGCTAACATCCCACTTCAGTGGTTTCAGTCCTACCTATCAGGTCGCACTCAGTTCAGTACTATCAAATCCTCCCGCTCACAGCCCTCTTCTGTCTCTTCATTATATACATCCTTCCCCTTGGCAATATCTTCAGATTCAATATTCATTTTCACTGCTTCGCGGATGACACCCAGCTCTATTTGTCCAGTAAGCCAAATTCTGCACTTCCTCCCTCATCACCTGCCTTCAAGAAATAAAATCCTGGTTCAGTTCGAACTTCCTGAAATTAAATACAGACAAAACAGAACTTCTTTTGGTTGGTACCAAGAACACCCTCTCAAAATTTGGCAGTTTCTCTCTCACAGTTGATAATACTTCAGTTTCCCCCTCTCCCCAGTTCAAGAGTCTGGGTGTCATCCTAGACAGCACACTATCCTTCCAATCTCATATCAATAGCATCACACGGTCAGCTTATTTCCATCTTCGTAACATTAATCTCTCATCACATCACCCCCATCCTCAAACAACTCCATTGGCTACCAGTGCACACCAGGATTAACTACAAGATTCTCCTTCTCACCTTCAAGGCCATCCATAACCTCGCCCCTCACCACCTCACAGATCTCGTTCACATCGTCACCTCGTCCCGTTCCCTCAGGTCCTCCTCCTCCATTCATCTCTCTGTGCCCTCCTTTCGTCTCAGCACCATGGGGAGTAGAGCCTTCAGCTGCACCGCTCCCAAACTCTGGAACTCCCTTCACCCTCTCATCAAGAACATTAACTCATTCACAGAATTCAAAAAACAACTCCAAACTCACCTCTTCATAACCACATATCAGCTTTGAATTTTAGAGTGCCTTGTTTGTTGATGTTTACGTATGTTTACTTACTGAATATTTGTGTTTTTATTCTGTACAGTGTCCTTGAGTGACCAGAAAGGCGCTTTTAAATAAAATGTATTATTATTATTATTATTATTATTATTATTATTAACACTGCTGCTAAAAGTAAGCACATGGACCTTCCACCTGTTTCCTGATGACCTTTGGTTTAATGTGATCCAGGAGATCCAGAGCTTTACTGAAAAACAAGCACTTCCTGCTGATCTAATTATATTTGCAGGGTATTAAAATGTTTGTATTTTTTATCATTTATATTATTCTGTGTTAAATTCATTTTTTTCCACTGAGCCTTCTCTTCCCGATGCTTCGGATGATCTTTGCTCTAGGTTTCTTTGTTTCTAAGATCACCAACATCAGAGCCCTGATCTCACCCTCGCTGTTTGCCTCTCCTGGATGTGACTCCTCTCAGTTTTCAGTGGATCACCTTGAGCCTATTTCTTTTTCTTTGCTCTCTGATCTGGTGGCAGGGCTGAAGCCTTCTGGTTCTCCGACTGACGTGATGCCTCTGCGTCTTCTTAAAGAGGTTTTTCCTGTGGTTGGCCGCTTTATTTTAAATATTGTGAACGGGAGTTTAACCTCTGGAGTTGTCCCCCAGGCTTTCAAGCAGGCAGTGGTCCAACCAGTTTTGAAGAAAGCTGGTTTGGACTCTACCTCCCTGGAAATCTTCCGCCCCATCTCGAAGCTTCCATGTTTACCTAAGCTTCTCGAGAAAGTTGTTTTTACACAGCTCTCTGACCATTTGCAGACTTTAAACATTTTAGACCCTTTGCAATCAGGGTTCCGTCACAGTACTGAGACTGCCCTTCTTAGAGTTTTTAATGATGTTCTGCGGCCCACTGATTCCGGCTCCCATGTTCTACTGGTGTTGCTGGATCTCACAGCTGCTTTTGACACCGTAGACCATACTATACTTGTGTCCCGACTGAACCAGGTAGTGGGTGTCCAGGGAACTGCCCTGAACTGGTTCAGATCGTACCTCAGCAACAGAAGTTTTTGTGTGAGGATGGGGGATTTTGCCTCTAAAGCCTCCTCTCTGCCCTGTGGTGTTCCCCAAGGCTCTATTTTAGGACCTCTGCTTTTTAATCTTTACATTCTTCCTCTGGCAGCTATTTTTAGGTGACATGGCGTGTCTTATCATTTGTATGTTTCATTAAAACCTGAAGAGTCGGTGCAACCGGCTGTGGATTGCCTGAATGAGGTGAAGGGCTGGCTTTATAATAACTTTTTACACCTGAACGAGTCTAAGTTGGAGGCTCTTTATTTGCTCCTCCCTACAGTTAGTCCTGTCCTTCCACCCTGTTTTCGCAGCTTAGTGAAGCCAACCGTCACTAACCTGGGGGTGGTTTTGGGCCCAGAGCTGCAGATGGACTCTCACATTAGCCAGGTGCTTAGATCCTGCTTTTTCCAGCTTCGCCAGCTATCAAAGATGAAGTCCATCCTGACTAGACGTGACCTGCACACAGTAATCCAGTGCTTCCCTTACACAGGCGTAGCCGTGGCGGCGAAATCCCAGCGCCACGCCTACAAGATCCCGTTTTATAGATTTAAATTTTTTTTTTTGCGCTGTTTCCCGAAGAAGCAGCAGGAATCACTCTGTTGTTGCTTGTGATCACAGCCGGCAGGCAGCAAGGAGGAGGAGGCAGGGCAGGGTGGTTACAGCTAGGGATGAGCCGGATACTCGTTTCAGACGAGTATGCGGTACAGATGCAGCATTTTTGACGCATACGAGCATGAAACGAGTAAAACTCGTAAATATCTGTAATCGTGCTGAAGAAAAATCCTCATTGGGTAACTGACTGTCTTCACGTTCTGTGATTGGCCAGTCACATAGTGCGCCCGCCCCTCCCTACACTCAAAATCTGTAGCCGGAAGCTCAGTACGGCCCATCCACGTGCACACACACACAGACAGTGTACTCCATGCATTTGTGATCACTCACTTGGATTATGCGAATTCCCTTTTTTATGGATCCACATCTTCCTCGGTTGCGCGTCTACGGCTGGTACAGAATGTGGCGGCCCGCCTTTTGACGGACTCCAGAAGGAGGGAGCACATTACTCCTGTTCTGACCCAGCTGCACTGGCTCCTGGTGCGCTACTGCATCCAGTTTAAAATTTTACTTCTTGTTTTTAAGTCACTCTTTCTGCGCCTCTGTACTTGGCTCTGCTGGTTCAGCCCTACGTACCTGGTCGAATTCTTTGATCAGCAGACCCCCGCCTGTTACAGGTCCCAAGTGTTCAGGTGAGGACACGAGGAGAACAAGTGTTGTCAATCTCTGGAACCAACTCCCTCTAGCAGTGAGAATCCCCCCCCCCGTGATTTAAAATCACGCCTGAAGGCCCATTTCCATTCCTTGGCTTTTACTTCAACCTAGTTAGCATTTTACGATGTTTTTGTTGTACTTTTATTGTTTTTATAGTAGTGACTGTACTACTTTTACTACTTCCCGTGTGTTGGTTTTTATGCTCTTTTACTGCGCAGCACTTTGGTCGGCCTTGGCTGTGTAGAAACGTGCTGACGTCATCTCCACGGGGATTCACTGAAACCATGTTTTTATTTCTACTCATGTAGTGGGTTGGGATTTTTCAGAATGTTGAATAATTGTTTTTGTTTCTCTACGTAAACGTCTTTGATCAGGGGTTAAAGGTCACTTCTGAGTGAAATGTGTGTTTGTGTTCCAGTCAGGTCAGTTCAGTGAAGACATGATTCCTACAGTTGGATTCAACATGAGGAAGATCACTAAAGGCAACGTCACCATCAAGGTTGGTAGTTTGGTTCCGCCACCCTCCTCTTCCTCTGCTGAGCGATGAAACTGAAGGATAATTATTAACTTTCACGTGCAAATCCATTTAGACCGTTTGTTGTTATTTACTTTGATGTCGGATTTTCTAGTTGTGGGACATCGGAGGACAGCCTCGCTTCAGGAGCATGTGGGAGCGTTACTGTCGAGGAGTCAGCGCCATCGTGTAAGTCCCGCTGTCCTGAACTGCTCTGGGGTCAGAACCAGAACCAGCAGAAAACACCTGGGGCTGATGTTTGTTCGTCTTCTGTTACCACCACTTCCTGTAAGGATCTCGTGGTGGGGACCATGTGTGTGTGAGGCAGGGCTACACCTGCACAGGTAACCAGTCCATCATGAAGACGCATTAATGGTCAAACACTTGTTCTCTTGGGACAGTTTAGAGCCGTGCACTCCAAAGCTGGGCTGAAGAGCTCACGGTGGGATGAAACACCAAGTGGAGTGAGTGAGTGAGTGAGTGAGTGAGTGAGAGAGAGAGTGTGAAGTGGACGGTCCTTTCCATGGCTTGTCCGTGACAGCGGGGGGTGGGATGGTGCATGCACGTGCACACGATCCGCTGCTGTTTCTCACCAGTATCAGCTGATGGGGGTACCCTGTTTTTGTTTCACTGCCGTGCGTCGTTCGTGTCAGCGGACATGGTAGGGTCGAGGAGGGCGGGGCGGGGCGTGACGCTCAGCCTGGCCGGTGACCAAGTAAAGCCCCGCAGAAGATGTCATTTAGACCTCTGGGTCATCAGGAGGCTGTTGCAGAACTGGAGAACCTGTTAGACTAAACTAAACCACTCCAGGATTGGATATCATTCCCATGGCTGAAATTCCAGAACACTTAGCCCGACGGGTGACCTAGTCAGGCTGAGCGCTAGCTCACCTGCTGGAGGAAAACCCTGCACCTGCCATTCTGATGGTGAGTTCAAAGACCAGGAGTAATGTTGGATCTTTGTCTTCTATTGCTGCTTGGTGGTGTTCTGTAAAGGAACCCAAAAATACAAAAATCTGGTTTCTTAATCTCAGATTAAGCTGTCGGCATCGGCCGATTTCTCGTTCCTCCGCCGTCGAACAAAATAATCTTAATAATTTGATACAAAAACACCAGATTTTGGTTCACTCGCTGAACCAACATCAGTATTTTAGTTTTTGATGAAACTGAACATAAAGAGTTGTTGTTTGTCAGGTTTTGTGTCTCACACCTGGTTCAGGTGAGGTTAGTTGGGTTAATCCTCGCTGTAAATTTAAATAATCCTAAAAGGAGTCCGACTCAGGTGTGTGTGTTTTTCCTCCTGCAGCTACATGGTGGATGCCGCTGATCCAGAGAAGATCGAAGCCTCTAAGAACGAACTCCACAACCTGCTGGACAAACCGCAGCTGCAGGGAATTCCTGTAAGAATGGCCAACGGAGCAGAACCGAACAATGATTCTAATGTTCAGAACCAAAACAAGACTCCTCAGAGTTCAGGGACGGCGACCAGAGTCCGACTGATTATTGATCAGAACCACCTTAAAACAAACACACCATATAACATGATGTTCTGTTTGTAAACAAGTGAATCAGCTGTTAGTTTGAGCCGATCATCGTTTGTCAGTCAGCCTGAATAAAAGCAGGTTCTGATGTTTAAACTCTGGCTGCTCAGGTTCTGGTTCTGGGGAACAAGAGGGACCTGCCAGGAGCGCTGGATGAGAAGGAGCTCATAGAGAGGATGTAAGTGTGTGTCTGTCTCCCTTCATCCATCCTAACACTTATTAACATCTGGACCCCTTAAAGGGCCACCAGGCAGTTTCGGCTTGTTTGTAGCACCCCCTAGTGTCTGTTAGTGACGTCAGGGGAGGGGTGGGGGCCCGTGGGCCGCCTGCCGCTGCTGTAAAGGGTCCTTTTAGCATATTCTGGCTCAAGAAAACGATTTAAAAAGATGAAAAGTTGCAAGTATGGCTTAGAGTCAAACTGGAGCGGCTTGGGCCGATCGATGCGGAGCACTCGCCCGTTTCCTGGTTTTGGTTCTTATCTTCTTCTTTTCTTAAGGAACTTGTCGGCCATCCAGGACAGAGAGATCTGCTGCTACTCCATCTCCTGTAAGGAGAAGGACAACATCGGTGCGTCACACACACACACACACACACACACACACACACACACACACACACACACACACACACACACACACACACACACACACACACACACACACACACACACACACACATACATGAACACGCACACACACATACATGAACACGCACACACACACACACATGCACACACATACATGAACACACACACTCACATACATGAACACGCACACACATGCACACATTAACGCACGCACACACATGCACTCACATTAACACACACACACACTCACATACATGAACACACACACACACTCACATACATGAACACGCACACACACATACATGAACACGCACACACATGCACACATTAACGCACGCACACACACACATGCACTCACATTAACACACACACACACTCACATACATGAACACACACACACTCACATACATGAACACACACACACACATACACACTCACACACACACTCACATACACACTCACACATGCACTCACATTAACACACACACACACATTCACATGCATGAACACGCACACACACACACACACACACACACACATGCACACACATACATGAACACGCACACACATACACACACTCACATACACACTCGCATACATGAATGCGCACACACACACATGCACACACATACATGAACACGCACACACACATACACACACACTCACACACACACACTCACATACACACTCACATACATGAATGCGCACACACACACATGCACACACATACATGAACACGCACACACACATACACACACACTCACACACACACACTCACATACACACTCACATACATGAATGCGCACACACACACTCACACACATGCACTCACATTAACACACACACTCACACACACTCACATACATGAACACGTACACACACACACACACTCACATACATTAACACACACACACACACACATATACAGTGGGGCAAAGTATTTAGTCAGCCACCGATTGTGCAAGGTCTCCCACTTAAAATGATGACAGAGGTCAGTAATTTTCATCATAGGTACACTTCACCTGTGAGAGACAGAATGTGAAAAAGAATCCATGAATCCACATGAAAGGATTTTTAAAGAATTTATTTGTAAATCAGGGTGGAAAATAAGTATTTGGTCAATAACAAAAATTCAACTCAGTACTCTGTAACATAACCTTTGTTGGCAATAACAGGTCAAATGATATTAAAACATATTGAGAAGGTCTTCAAAAAGTCTTGAAAAGGTTTTAAATTTAACTTTGAGATTCCTGCGTGTACCCTGAAAACACACCAGGACCCTGCTGCAGCTGTTCTACAGATGTTTTCTGTAAGTAAATCCTGTGTAAAAACAAACCAGCTCTTCAAAGTTTCTAAAACTAAGACGGTTCTGAGCCGAACCCAAGCCCGACTGGTTACATTTGGTTCTGATGAGGTCCGTTCTGTGTGAATCTTGGTCCTGATGGCCCGCCTCTCTCTGCAGACATCACTCTCCAGTGGTTGATCCAACACTCCAGGACTAAACGGAGTTCCTGAGAAATGACTCGACTCGCAAAGAACAGGCCAAACCCGACAACCGTAACCCCGCCCCCTCCCCTTTCCACCACCCTACCTGACTTTACATTACCCCCCCCCCAACTCCAGATGCATCGATACCTCTGAGCTTTGGCTTCTGTTACTGAATCTCTTGGACCGGGTCAAATTGGGTAGAAACCAAAGTGAAACCCACTTTTACAGAATAATTAAAGCACGGCTCAGATTCAGCATGAAGATCCGACCCGAGGAGTTGAGTGTAAGGTTTAGTAGAACTTCCTCTTGAGCTCGCATTCAGTTCAGTCTGCAGGAGACCAGCACATAAACACCAGAGTCCCCATCAGCGGGTTGATTATAGGCTCTAAAGCCTGCTGAGCTAGCCCAAACAACAGAACACGGCCTTCTGGGTAAAATTACTTCATGTTAGTTATCCAAATCGCCTTTAGTAAACCCAGAACATCTGCATCAGCTGATCTAAAGCACATCTGGATGAGCCGACCGGCAGCCTATCCGTGTTAGGGTGGGCGTGGTCTTGGGCTCCACCCACGCTGTCGGGGCCTCGTCCTGCAGCAGAACCTCTGGTATCGGTGCATCTTCCATCCACACAACCTGTTTTCGGCCATGTTGGATTTTATTCATCACTACAACTCATTTTTCCTTTAAACACCAAATTACCCTTGACTCGTCAGCTTGTGTTGGTTTTCCCACAATCCTCCTCTCTCCTCTTTCCATCCATCCCTCTCTACCTCCATCGTTCATCCCTCCATTATTTCACACCTTGTGCACCTTCCTCGTCTCTTTTCTTTTTAATTCTGTTTTCTGTCTCTCTCTCCTCCCTCGCCGTCCCCCTCCGGACGAGCGAACGAGCGATTTAAACCTTTTTATTGCACTGTTGATTTTGCTTTTGTAAGATAATAATAATGAGAATAATGTTAATAATCTTATTGTGATCTAACCCGACGTGTGCGGACTCGATGAAGTGGTACTTTAACAGGAGAAGAACAAATGTTTCTGTTTATATCTCTGTAATTAGATTTTTATTCATATTTGTTTTATATTGTTATTTTTTATTGTTTTATGAGTTCATGTTTTTTTTTTTTGTCTAACTGGAGTTCAGTGTTTTGTGCTCCGATCTGCTGATTGGACCAGCGGTGTCATGTGATCTCATCTGCATCGTTTTCAACTAAACCAAGACTGTTGTGTAATCACATATTAAATTTTTACTTTAAAGCCAAATGATGTAAAAGTTTTAATGCTTTTGTTCAGTTTAATCAACTAAAAACCTGAAACCAAACATGAAAAATCACAAGTTAAATTTCCTTTTATGCCAGAATTGAAACCAACAATAAAACGTCTTCATCCTGGTTTTATTATTATTATTATTATTTATGTAACACGACGTCAGAAATAAGGACGGTTTAATGAGTCATGCTGGAGTTGAATTCTGTTTGAATGAATACGAAAATTAGGGATGCAACGATACCACTTTTTTCCAAACCGATGCGATACCGATACTTGGATCTGAGTACTCACCGATACCGATTACCAATACCTATACTTCTACCACACAAAAAAATGCAATGATTTGGAATACAGGTTTTATTTTCTTCTCTGCTTTCAACAGGAAAAGACTGTGAGGAAGGTAAAAAGTAAAATATATGAATGGAAATCATCACAAAACTAAAATATTAGGTGAACAGAAATGACAAGTTACAGGGAAGCCATTTTCAAGCAACTGCATTGGTATCGGTTCCTGGTATCGGTTAACCTTTACCGATACCGGTACTGGTATCAGCATCGGAGCCGATACCGATACGGTATCGTATCGGTGCATCCCTAACGAAAATGAAACGTTTGGATTCAACAGGAATATTTATTTAGATGCATAACCTACTTTAAAGTCGGAAGCATTTATCCATTTCTTGTTCTTTTTCTACAGTTTAGTAAAAAAAAAAAAGGTTTTTACCTGACATGTTTAAGCTAGTATCTCTAGCAGGGCTACACGATGTTAGGAAAACCTGCGATATGCCATAAAAGTGATTAATATTGCGATGACGATGTTATTTGAGATGAATGAAAACTTGACTCAGGAACAAAAATAATCAAAAACAAAGAAAATGAAAAAATGACTAAAATAAATTATAAAAATGAGAAAAGCAAAAGTTTGCTAACCATCATAATGAAGTGCCGTCCGCCTCGGGGGCGGGGCTCTGAGCTGTGAGAACCCACCCGATTGGCCAAATGAGTGAAGAGCTCTATTTAATGTTGTAAAAAAACATCATGCTTCCGTTTGACCGACAGAAGGCATCATGTGTAGCAAACATCCGAGCGGACCGTTCATTGCGATATGCATATTGTCCTTGCTGATATCGCGATAACGATATATTTACCATATATTGTGCAGCCCTGATCTCTAGTCATCATCAGAGATCGGTATTGGTGACGTCGCTTCCTTTTATCCGCGGGCAGCAGAGGATGGCGTCACCCTGAAAAGATTAGTACACCCTAAGGACAAGATGGCAGCAGCTGACCAACGTGGAGTCATAAAACTTAGACGACCGGACGCCAACTCCACACCAACACCGAACATCAAATATACAAGAGATGGAGATGAGGAGACGTGGACACAAAACCATGAACAGACGATGGAGTATTCACGCTGGATCATGTATGGGACAGTCGTCAGCGAGGAGGCCGCGGGCAGCAGAGGGCGACTGCTGGCCGCGGATGAAAGGAAGTGACGTCACCATCGCTGGCGATCCCTGGTGGGAGCTAGAGCTGCTAGCTGAAACATGTCAGGTAAAAAACTATTTTTTACTAAGGTGTGTAGCAAAAGAACCAGAAATAGCTTACGAATAAAAACAGAATGAACGTTCGAAAGAGCATATAAAGTTTATTCATGTTAACCTGAAGCGATTAGAGAGCCGTGCTGTTGGATATGAACTGAAATATGGTAATTATTGTAAGAGTCTAGTTCTGAGGGTTGTTGACAAATCAGGAAGTCTGAGTCAAAAGTTCAGCTGAGACTTTCTGAACCATTGAACATCAAATATTTGTGAAACTCTAAAAGTGGCTTTTTAAAGTGATTTCATACAAATAAACCAGTTTCTGATTTAAATGTTTTTATTTGTTTTAGATTCTAAAACGTTTGATTCTTTATTTCTGGGAAGTTTTTCTAAAACTAGCTAGCATGAAGTGAACCTGCTAACTTCTTTACTTCCTGGTTCAAGTTAACTTGACTTTTCTTAACCCTTGTTGCCTCTGTCCTCCAATTGGTCCATGTCACTTCCTGGTCCTGCCAGCAGCCAATCAGAGCAGAGAGAACCATGGAAGCAGCTTTCTCTGTTGGTGTGCTTCACACTTTCAAGCCAGGTTTAGGTTTTATGTATCTGGTGATCAGCTGTTTGTCCTGACGGCGAGAAGCTGGAAGTAAAAACATCAACCAGCACAACCAGTTCTGGATCCACTGGAAACGGTTCTGCTCCGTGTTCTGATCTTCTCTAAACCGACAGTCATGTGACGCCACTGATCAGCAGACGCCTGATTACTAATTATGATGCTGTCAGTCAGAGCCGAGCGATCAGGAGGATAGATCGCTTCTGTTCACCTCCAACAGGTGTGAGACACGCCCCGTGGGCCATACGGGTGTGAGACGCTCGCCCGTGGGCCATACGGGTGTGAGACGCTCGCCCGTGGGCCATACGGGTGTGAGACGCTCGCCCGTGGGCCATACGGGTGTGAGACGCTCGCCCGCGGGCCATACGGTTGTGAGACGCTCGCCCGCGGGCCATACGGGTGTGAGACTCTCGCCCGTGGGCCATACGGGTGTGAGACGCTCGCCCGTGGGCCATACGGGTGTGAGACGCTCGCCCGCGGGCCATACGGGTGTGAGACTCTCGCCCGCGGGTCAGACGGGTGTGAGACTCTCGCCCGTGGGTCAGACGGGTGTGAGACTCTCGCCCGCGGGCCATACGGGTGTGAGACGCTCGCCCGCGGGCCATACGGGTGTGAGACGCTCGCCCGTGGGCCATACGGGTGTGAGACGCTCGCCCGCGGGCCATACGGGTGTGAGACGCTCGCCCGCGGGCCATACGGGTGTGAGACTCTCGCCCGCGGGTCAGACGGGTGTGAGACGCTCGCCCGTGGGCCATACGGGTGTGAGACGCTCGCCCGTGGGCCATACGGGTGTGAGACGCTCGCCCGCGGGTCAGACGGGTGTGAGACTCTCGCCCGCGGGTCAGACGGGTGTGAGACTCTCGCCCGTGGGCCATACGGGTGTGAGACGCTCGCCCGCGGGCCATACGGGTGTGAGACGCTCGCCCGCGGGCCAGACGGGTGTGAGACGCTCGCCCGCGGGCCAGACGGGTGTGAGAGGCGCGCCCGTGCGTCAGACGGGTGTGAGACGCGCGCCCGTGCGTCAGACGGGTGTGAGACGAGGAGATCCAGTCACCAATTGTGTTGGAGCAGTGGCGGATTTAGCAATAAGGGGGCCCAAGGCGAACACAGACATGGGCCCCCTTACACTAAATTTTCGACAGTCTTACCTTTAACTGGATTTGTGAAACTCTCCCCTCTTCTGACACGAGTTAGTTTCCCTTTTTATTAGTCCTCCTCTTTTTCCTGTCTTTCTCTCCCTTTGAGTGCCTTCTTCTTCCTGTCAGTGCTCCTGTGCTTTTGACTTTGTTTTTTCTTCTATTTTCCATTTTGGTTTGTTTTCCTCCCTTTAAACATTTTCCATTGTCTTTCCTTTTCTGCTTCCTTTGATGTTTACATAGAAAAACGACGTCACTTTTGGAAGTGAAGATAAAAGCTTTTATGAAGCGAGCTGCTTCTTTCTCTTATAGAGCTCCGGGAGTTGACGTCACGTTTCCCGGCATGCAACAGTTCAAATCGAAACGGCGCCATATTGGCAGGTAGAAGCCGGCAGCTGGACTATTTGTTATTGTCAGAAAACTCAAATCAGACAGGAAATATGGTAGATTCCTGTTGTGCCCCAGGATGCAGAACAGACACGGACGACATAAGGAATGAGCCATCTACAGGATTCCCCAAGATCCGGAACGCCGCAAACGTTGGATCATTGTAATAAAACGCGCTAGTGACCGGGCTAAAATGAAGCTGTGGGATCCCGAGAGTAAAGGTTTTCACTTATGCAGCGACCGCTTCATATCAGGTACTTAAACCAACGTTTCCTCAACTGTGTGTGGTATTTATTTTAAATGCTTTTATTACGATTCTTAGTGGGCTTCTTAAACTTATTTTGGCGTGGCTTTTTCTGTCTTATTACTCATAGCAACAAGTAAACGTCACGTAAAACGTTGCCTCGTGAGTTCTGCGTGCTGCCGTTTACGTGTTTTATGATCACAGCAATTAACCGGCTAAGCTGTATTTAATTTTTAAGCAATGGTTGATCAATTGTCAGATCAAACATAAAAAGCACTTTGGATTGCTATTATCTGTCTCACCGAGTCAGATCTCAGACAGATCCTGAGACGCTCCTGCTGACATATTTATTTTATTAACGGAAAAAAATCAGACTAGTGATTTCTCTAGGAGTTCAGTTTATACATTCAAACAGCACAGCACTCTATTTAAACTACTTACATGTAAATCTATGTTATTTGTCCATCCATCCATCCATTTTCATCCGCTTATCCGGAGTCGGATTACGGGGTCAGTAGCCTAAGTCGAGAGGCCCAGACTTCCCTCTCCCCAGCCGCCTGAGCCAGCTCCTCCGGGGGAATCCGAAGGCGTTCCCCGGCCAGGTCCGGTAAGAAGTCCGCTCCGACAGCTTCTGGCGTTTTTAAAAAGTATCCCAGGGGCACGGTAAGGGTCGGAGACGTGCTGCTGCAGTAACGTGCTGCTGACGGCTCCCGTGGAAAGCCGGGGTCAGGGTTTGGGTTAGGCGTTGAACCAGCGTCTCATCCTGGGTGTTCCGAAGTAGCTGAACCTGAAATGTGTTTGAAACAATGCAATAAAGTGTGGAAGGGTCAGCGTTGTGTGTCTGACTACTTCTACATCCATGTGATGACAAGATTTAAACATGTAAACCAGAAGGTTTCAGGTGCTTTAACCGTTGCGACTTGAAGGAATGAGATCAGAGGCCCGGGTTACAGAAAAACTAAACGTTCCCAGAATTTTGATGAATTTTAATTTGATGTTCTTTGTCTTCTCCGCCTCACTCGTTCATCCCATCCAGTTTATTTCAGTTTCAAACACTTTCTAATGAAACTGGACCAAAACGTTCATGTGTCTGAGATGCAGCTTACTGGTGAGACAGCAGGGGGCAGCACACTCTCTCTCTGCACACATCTTTTCATTTTTTATTATCACATTTATTAGCATGAGAAAAATTATCTCTAAG